GGTCTTGTGGCTGCGAAGTCCCTTAGCCTCTGTTTGTCTGGGAAAGATTTAATTTCTCCCTCACATCTGAAGGATGTTTTTGCTGGGTAGAGTATTCTTGGCTGAAGATTTTTATCTTTTAAAATTTTGAATATGTCATTCCATTCCTTCCCAGCTTGTAAGGTTTCTGCAGAGAAATCTTCTGAAAGTCTGATAGGGGTTCCTTCGTAGGTTATTTTCTTCTGCCTTGCTGCCCTGAGAATTCTTTCTTTGTCATTCATTTTTGCCAGTTTTACTACTAGATGCCTTGCAGTAGGTCTTTTTACATTGACAAATCTAGGAGATCTGAAAGCGTCCTCCACACGCATTTCCCTTTCATTCCCTAGATTTGGGAAGTTCTCTGCTGTTATTTCTGTGAGCACGCTTTCTGCTCCATTCTCCTTCTCTTCACCTTCTTGGATATGTATAATTGTTTTGTTGCATTTCCTCATTGAGTCAGATAGTTCTCGGAGATTTTCTTCATTTCTTTTTAGTCTCAGTTCTCTCTCCTCCTCTGTCTGGAGCAATTCAACTTGTCTATCTTCTTTTATGCTGATTTGCTCCTCTATGGGGTCCACACGAGCATTCAGGGAATCCATGTTTTGTTTTATCTCTTCCATTATGTCTTTCATCCCTAGTATTTCTCATTGATTCTCCTTTGCAGTTTCAATCTCTTTTGTGAAGTAGCTCCTGAACTCGTTGAATTGTTTCTCTATATTCTCTTTTACCTCATTGAGTTTTTTGACGATAGCTATTCTGAATTCATTGTCATTTAGTTTACTTATTTCTGAGCCTCAGGACAGAATTCTGGGTATTTATTGTTTTCTCTCTGGTCTGGAGTTTTGATGAACTCCCTGATGCTGGAAGAATGGGGTTTTACCATTGTGATATTATTCGGTTGCAGTTACAGCCTGTCGCCACTGGATGGGGGTCAGGAGCTGCGTATTCTGAGCCCTCCACCCTCAGCCGAGATGGCGCAGCACAACGTGGGTGGGGGGTGGGGAGCTTTCTCTTGTGCACAGACCCAGGTTTCCCAATCAGCTCTCACTGTCTCATCTCCTAGGGTCCTAGTTTGATAAGGTCACCCCACTCGGAAGCTTTCACCTCCATTAGAGGGCTTCCCTCTAGGCTGCAAGGGCGCTAGGGAGTCCTGGGCGATCCCGTGGATGTGTGACCCCTCCCTCGCTCATTCCCTCCTGGCACCTCCTGCAGCAGTGATCCCAGTCTCTAGGGGAGAGAGTGGAGATCTCTCTTACTCTGTTCCAGCTCCTCCGAGGGGGGCTCCAGCCTCTCTGCCCTCTGTCATGTGGCTGCTGTGACTCTCCAAGGATTCCTGTGCTATTAGGATATTTTCTGGTGGAATATGGTTTCTCCTTTTTGTTGTATGTTGAAGGGGAGAGAGTCACAGGTAAGCTCACTCTGCTATGATGCTGACGTCACTCCTCCATCTTTTTTTCTTTTAAAAAGGCAATGGCTCCCCAAGTCCAAAATGGTTCCCCTTGGTATTGACGAGACAATAGACAAGTTAAAAATGATGGAAGGGAGGAACTCCAGCATCCGAAAGGCCGTCAGGATCGCCTTCGACCGTGCCATGAACCACCTGAGCCGTGTGCATGGGGAGCCAGCCAGCGACCTCAGTGACATTGACTGACGTCACCTCTGCGGCCTTGTCCATAGTGTTGATAAGTGTACATATTTGTATATTGTTCAAAACTTAACTTATTCTGATTTTTAGGCGTAGTTCTTTAATTCTTTTGCCCTGGGGAGGTGGGGGAGGTTTTATTTCCAAGTTTTCTATGAAACCATCCCCGTCTGGGCACTCTGTGAATGGCGTGGGCGCGTCTTCCAAGCGCGACTCTGTGCCCATCACAGGTCACACCGGAGGGTGCTGCTTATGTCACTTTCTTTGATCTGTAGCTTTTTTTTGAAAGACTTTTGAATGTTTAATAATTTTGTAAATCATACTCTTTACACAGAGTACCACTTATTTAATAAGACGGGATGTAAATTTACAATGACAAATGTGTATTTTAAGAAAGAAAATGACGTTATTTTGAAGGTACTTTGTGGAAAGAGGTGAAGAATAAATTTATGCCGTGTACATCATTTGCAAATCACCAAAAACACTCCGCCGCCCCCGTGAGGGCCGGGCGGGCGCTTCCTCTGGGTGTTGCCATCCTCCTTCCCTCCCTCTTCCGCTGCCTCCTCCTCTTCCTCCTTGTCCACCCGCCAGCCTCTGCCCGTCCACCCCAGCCTCCCATGGGTGTGCCTCCCAGCGGATTATTTATTGTAGAAAGTGTATTCATTTGCTTTATAATGAAAGATAAATTTGCAAAAATATATTGATATGCATTTTTATACAGGCACATAAAAATTCAGCTTGCTTTGGGAGCAGGATGTGTTGGTTGTTGTATAAATGACTGGCTGTGTGTTCTTTGATTTTGTAACTTGTAATCTTTTGTTTACAATGAGGGGCTTTCTGTAACTTGTTTTAATTTAGAACTCTTTGGTAGCAATAGAAACTTTGGATACATTTTTGTATGGTACATGTGATGTATATAGAATTAGTACTTTATTTTTATTTTTAAGAGGTAAAGCATTATGTTAGGGGAAAAGGTAGGGTGGGTTTCCAAAATTTCATTTTTTATATTAAAAAATAAAGTGAAGATTTGGACAGTGTGGCCATTTTATTCCTGTATGAGCGGAACGCTTGGCGGGGGTGTGCCTGGAGGCTGGGAGAGGGCGAGGATCCCCGTGGCCTGTCCCCAGCCAGCTCATCGAGGCGTGTGACATGCCTTCATCTTAAGATTTTCATGGGATGGCATTATTTATTATTTTACCTAATCATATTTTTATTTCAAAGTAATAGTTTAAAGTCTTTAAATGTTTCCTTTTCAGTCTCCGTTGTTTGTAATATCTCCATAGAAACTTGGAAATAAAACATCTGCCTTTGCTAGTTTGGTCCTGTGTCTGAAAGACGCTTTCTCTCTGCTGTGGTTCTCTGGGACCACTGACCCTCGAGGGCAAGTCTGGAGGAAGCATTGCTGTGGATGTGGCCCTGGCTGTGGTCAGACCAGGGTTGAGGGCCTCACTCCAGGTTCATGCCCGGAACTCCTGCTGGAGCTGTCACAGCCCATCCTGACCCTGGAGCTGTGAGGGCTGAGCTCCTTCCTCTGGCTCTGCGGACCTCACTGCTCAGCACTGACCGCCGGCCCACCCTGGGCATAGCTGCACAGGGGCTCCGTGAGGGGGCAGTGGCCCTGCTGTCCAGGGCGGAGGGCACCCTCTGCCCTTAGCAGGACCTCCTGGGCCCCACTGCTGGCTTCCATCAAGCACCAGGGGGCCCTGGGGCTCATGCCTATGGTTTCTTTTTTCTTTCTTGAGCTGTTTTACAATGTAGGAGAAATACGTCAAAAAAGTCAAGTTTTCTAGGATCTGAGACTCCAGTCTCTCCCTCTCCTTCCTACTCATTCTTCTTGAGTTTGTAAGAATGGGGACCATGGTGCCCACACTATGCTCAGCTGCTTATTAAATTACCTGTTTCAGGCAAATGCAAAACTGCACTGATGGGAACATGCAGCAATGTGCCGAGCGTGCTGTTAGTGTGCTGCCAGCCGCAGGCTGTCCCTCTGGGTGCTTCCAGGGCCTTGCCCTATGCACAAGGGGAGGTTGCCTTATCCTCTCAGACCCACTTTTCAGGTTGATTCCAGGCATTTCAAGACTATTCTGGATTTCTGTCCCCTTGCAGGGTGGTTTCAGGTGGGGACACTTGTGGTTGGCCTCTCCTTTGGCTCTGGGTCATGTGGGGTGTCCAGGTCCTGCGGTCTCTGGGTGGGTCTGGGCAGGGGGTGCGCTGTGGGCTGCCTCTCACTGCTGTTTCAGGGTGGGCGGGGTCCTGGAGGACCTCTGGGTGGGTGGGCTGAAGGAGCCACTTGGAGGCAGCGGTCCCCTGGGGCAGCTGCGTGGGTGAGGGCCCCCAGAGGCGTTGGGCCTCCTCAAAGCTGGTGCCTGGCAGCCTGGGGTGGGAGTGGCACCCACCTTCCGACTGACTGCCAGGGCCCTGACCCTGCAGACTCGAGGCTGCCGGCAGACGCTGGGGCCTGAGCCCAGAGGCCCCACTCCACCGATCTGCATGGCCTTGGCGGGGCACTGCTCCAAGCTTGAAGGCGTTTTGCGTCCTGGCCAGTGTAGACAGTGTGCATCATGTGGCTCACGGCTCTTGGGTCCTCGCCTCTGTCCCCCCAGGCCTGAGTCTGCCACGTGGTGCCACCCCTTCCCCAGCCCTGTGGGCTGGTCTCAGGGTCTCCCCGCAGCAGCCAGGGGTCCCCTTGGGTGTGTGTCCAAGCTTCCTGGGTCAGGAAAGAGCAGGGCCCCGCTTCACCTTTTCCCTGGAAGCCAGCACCTGCAGCACGTCGCTGAGGCCGCACTAGCGCACCCTACGGACCCCAGGCTGGGGAGATTGTCCACGTGGCACACCCCACACACTTGCGGGAACAGGTCTCGCTGGCCACATCTGCAGTCGCAGGACCCCTGGAGGAGCTCCCAGGGGGTGGGCAGCTCAGGCCCCAAGCGTGACCCTTGGGCCTCCCGTGTCCAGAACCCAGATTCCTGGTGGGTGGGAGCGGCTGCCCCACCACAGGACTCCAGGGCAGTGGGCGTGGCCGAGGCTCCGATTGACACCCTACCCCCCATTCTGTTTTCTTGGTGATGAAGCCTTTTGGAATAGTAACTACAACTCCCAGGCTCCCTTGCAGCCAGGTGAGGCCAGGAGACCAGACCAGTGGGAAGTAATTGGGAGGGTCACTTCCAGGAAATGTTCTCTGAGCCGGGAGGAGTGCTTTTCCTTACTCTTTCTTCCTTTCTGCTGGCTGGAATGTAGACGGGGATGGAGCTGGAGCAGTCATTTTAGACTATGTGGAGAATGGTAGGAGCAAGATAGACAAAGCCTGGGTCTCCGATGCCTACACAGAGCTTTCTTACCAGTCCTGAACAATTATTTATGTGATAGAAACACACATTTATACTCTTTTAAAGCCATAATTATTTTTCTTTACAGCAGGTAAATTTCAAATGGGTCAAAAATGAAATAATTAAAATTCCAGAACAAAATCATGAAGTGGTTATTTATAACCATGGAGTGGGGATGATCTTTTAAAATATGACTCAACCTCCAGAAACCATAAAAGAAAATATTAATATATTTAACAGTGTAAAATTTAAAAATCTGTGCATGCATGGCCAAAAAACATCTCTCACAATGTCAAAAGACCAATTAAGAAGAATATTTGCAACTCACACCCCAGAAAAAGGGCTCATTTCCTTACAATATAAAAGTTCTACAAGTCTTTTTTTTTTTTTTTTGGTGAGGAAGATTGTCACTGAGCTAACATCTGTGCCAATCTTCCTCTATTTCATGTGGGACGCCACAGCATGGCTAGATGAGTGGTGTGTAGGTCCGCGCCTGGGATCCAAACCCACGATGCTAGGCCGTTGAAGCAGAGCATGGCAACTTAACTACTGTGCCACCAGGCTGGCCCCCCATGAGTCTTTTTCTTTTAGGCAGATTAGCCCTGAGCTAACATCTGCCACCAATCCTCTTTTTGCTGAGGAAGACTGGCCCTAAGCTAACATCTGTGCCCATCTTCCTCTATTTTTTATGTGGGACACCTGCCACAGCATGGCTTGACGAGTGGTGTGTAGGTCCATGCCTGGATTCGAACTGGTGAACCCCGGGCCACAGAAGTGGAGGGTGAGAACTTAATTAACCGCTGTGCGACTGGGCCAGCCCCCAACGAGTCAGTTTTGAAAAGACCACCGATAGGACAGAAAAAAGGGAGAACTGTGGACTCATACAGAAAAGTAAATACAAAGGGCTGTAAACATTAAAAAATGCTCAGCCTCGCTTGTAGTAATGGAAATGCAAGTTAAAACCGCACCGAGAGGCCGTGTTTAAACTGTAGGGCAAGCAAAGAAACGAAAGCATGGGAGGCATTCAAGCGAGGGCAGGGGAGCCTCTGGACATGATGGCGGGCGTGTGCTGAAAGGCTCCCTCTGCGAGGACCAGCACCTGCATCTGTCAAGCACCATTTGATCCAGTAATTCGACTCCTGGGCATTTATCCTACAGATTGATTGTCATCAATGCGAAATGATTCTGTGTAAGGCTGCAGCATTTGGTAAAAGTGACGGAAACAATCTAAATGTTCATCCAAAGGGGACTGCTAACTAATCAAGGCACACCCACACGATGGGTCCCTAGGCAGCTGTTGAAAACAGTGAGGAAGCACTTTATACACTGAGGTGGAAAGGTCTTCAAAATCAAGTGTAAAAAAGCATAGAAGAGTGGGTGCTGTGTGCTGCCATTTGTGTGAAAAAGGGGACTTGATTGTGTTTGCAACCAGTATTTCAGGAAGGGTGCGCAGAAAATGTGTAACTACGGTTGTCCGTGAGGAGGGGAGCAGGATGCTGGGGTGCTGCACGCCCTTTTATACGTTTCGCATTTTCAGTCGTGTGAATGTCACACCTTCCCCAGTTCTGCCAGGAATGCCTTACGGCTCCTTCACCAGCCACCGTGGTGGCATCGTGCACAGTCTCGCACGCTCACCGTTTCTGACTGCTGCAGTTGTGTCTGTGCGATGAGGCCCAACCAGAGGGAGTGCCAGGTATCATTTGTCACCTGTTGGCTCCAAATCCACCCTCCTTTGGCCTGCTTTGTGGTGGGGGGCTGGACCTTGTGCACAGAGGGCGCTGGAGGGACGCCGCAAGGCCAAGTGGAGGAAGGGCTTGCCGCCTTCTTCAGTGTTCTGTTTGGCACATGGGGATCACCTGGTGGCGATCAGCTCAATGGCCTTATGGTTCAGCCTCAGCTGTGGCCTCTGCAAGTTTCCCTGCCCCCGTGAGCTTGTGCACCCGGCAGACAGCGCAGGGCATCGAGTGGGAGGAGCCCCTCTGAGCTTCCTCATTCCCTCAGCTTGGGGGGGTGCCTGTTTCCAAGGTTACCACTTATTTACCTGAGGGTCCGCAGTGCCCCTTTTGGTGATCATTCACTGTTTACTAGTTAACTGTTACATTTTCCTGTCCAAATTTCTGGTGTGGTTCCCATCTGCTGGCTGAGCTCCGGCAGACAGGGAACTGGTCCCAGGAAACAGCCCCTTCCACATGGGTTTTGGGGATTGGCTTGGTCATGACCTCAGGGGTGAGCAGTGTTGAGCTCCTGGTCAGTGGGGAACGGGGTATGGGAATCCGTGGCCTGTGGCTGCATCACAGTTCTCACCTGCAGTTGGTCATCAGCACAAGCCATGGGAGGTGCAGGCCGTGGGAGCCCTGGGGCTGCTGCACTTGGCCGTGAGGGGGGTCCTGATGCAGACAGGGCTGTAGTGGGATGGGTTTCCCTGAATGGCTGACAGACAGAGAATGTCAAGACCGGTTCTTTTAACCCTCAGCATGTCTCGATCTGAAACCAGGGAGCCCCCAGGACGGCACTGAGACCATCTGTTTCCTGCAGCTATGGGGCTGATGTGGCTACGACTCAAACACAGTCACACCATTCAGGTTGCAGAATTACAACTGCAACCACGGCCTGGCAGGTTTCTGTTGTGAAAGGAAGACTCAGGACCTTGACTTCTTTTTTTTTTTTTTTAAAGATTTTATTTTTTCCTTTTTCTCCCCAAAGCCTCCCCGTACATAGTTGTATATTCTTCGTTGTGGGTCCTTCTAGTTGTGGCATGTGGGACGCTGCCTCAGTGTGGTTTGATGAGTAGTGCCATGTCCGCGCCCAGGATTCGAACCAATGAAACACTGGGCCGCCTGCAGTGGAGCACGCGAACTTAACCACTCGGCCACGGGGCCAGCCCCATGGACCTTGACTTCTTGAGTCATTCTGAGCCTCCCTGACTTGCCCTCCGGCATGTGAGGAGACCCATCTTCCTCTGCGGGGAAGCCTCTGATCTGTAGG